CTGTTCGCCGAATCTGAACGCACCGGTGGCCTCGACGTTAAGACAACGATACAGCGTTTAAAACTGTGAACGTTATTTGTAAGGTGAACAGGGTCGCTGTGAATAATAGTTACTTGCTTTTCTGTTCCAACTCCATTAACGATTCAAGAGAACGTACATTTCAAAATAGAAAATGTTACAGCTCAGCTCAGAGCATGAAGTAGGACGGCTTTTAACATTAACATTAGCTAACTAACTAGCTCGCTAGCACAGCTATCTCAAAATGAATCTTTATCCAGTGAGCTGACGAGATTCCTCTTCTGATGCTTCGTCGTGGAGGATGTGCTCCCGTGCAGGCTAAGGTCGGCTTTAATAGCACAACTGACAACATTTTTTATGAGTTAAGCGTGAAATGCTCCCACACTTATGAGAATTTTGTTCTTGAGGCTGCCAACACGCTTTCGTTAAGTCTCCGGTAAGTGGTAACGTCAAAACATTCCTAGTCAGCGCGAGAAACAGGCGTGCGCGATGACGTCACCAACTAATCGAAATTCAATTAGTTTCCAGCTAATTTGGTCAGCGATTTTAATCGACTAAGTCGAATAATCGTTGGACCCCTATTAGAAATTGCCAGATGATGACAGAATGTAAAAAAATTCTTCACCTTATGCTAAGATTCAACAACCATGGACTCCTCTAAGCAACCGGTGGAGGATCTGCATTGATTAAATTAGATTTGAACTGATGTCTTCAAAGCAGTGGAAGGTTCTAAAAAGATATCAAAGGGATTCAAACTTCTAGAATATTCGCTGTCCAAAATATCCTTAAGAAATGACAGTTAAGGATAAATGTGGAAGTCAAGGTAAGGTCTGGAAGACAAAAAAATCTCTCAAAGGGAACTACTTGAATGCTAGCCAGAAATGCAATAAGTTTGCCCATATGATAGCAAAGGACCTGCGGGAGTTTTGCGTGCACAAATGTGATTTGCATGGAAGTGTTATCAGAAGGAAATCTTACCAAAAATTTATCATCAGAACTATGCAACATTTAGATCAATGTGAGGCATGTGGGCTGTGGATTAATGAAGTGAAAATAAAACTCTTTGGCCACAATCACCAACAGTATGCTTAGGTCAAAAAGGAGCAGGATTTGATGAAAAGAACACCTTGCCAACTGTTAAGCACATGGTGGATTTATTTTGCTTTGGAGTTGTGTGGCAGCCAGTGGCACAGGAACCATTGCACAGATAATGATCCAGAACATACTTAAAAATCCACCATGAACTGCTTCAAGAAATGCAAGCTGAAGCTTTTGCAGTTGCCTTCACAACCCCCTGACTTAAACATCATTGTAAGTCTTGGGTCAAACATGCTGTGCATGCAAAATATCAGAGAACTAGAAGCTTCAGTATGTAGTGTAAACCTAATTTGCTCAGTTGTGTTACTTCGTAGTAACCCTGTTAAAGTGTTCATTTTAATGCCATTTAGCATAAGGATGTGAGAACTCTTTACACTACAATTTGCAATTTGCATTTAATTTTCATTACTTTTCATCCCTTAAACCATGAAATATTCAGAATATGAAACTATAGTCCTTTTGAACAGAATTATTTTTTACCTGGGGAGCTAGTGAAATTTTAGTGATTGCCAAATTTGAATCAATCTGAAGTTTCTGTAGTTTTTACAAATCCATAATTTTGACAAATAAGACCTTCTGTAATAACTGGCTGAACCCACTGTGCCCCCAGTAATAGCAGTATAGTTCAAACTGATCTCATGTTGATCTCTTAAAACCTGGATGGCCATGCACTGCATCGTTATTGTCATTGAGTGTTGTGCTAATTTCATAATGCTGACATTTACATCCAGGCTATGATGTTTCAATTCAGGCCATCTAATAATTTAGAGAAATTACACAGATACTCAATCCTGTGCTAATCAGCCAGGCAATTTCTTACAAATGATACTTCAGTACCTCCTGTGGTAAAACTAATCCAGCTCAAATAGCACTTAATATGTACGGTATGTAGTAGATGAGGGGTGAAATGACACAGCTTGCACTTCTCTTACAGATTAGATTGATTGCATATTCCTCAGACTGTCTGGCAACTGCAAAGGAGCAGAGGGGTTTCTTTACCCATATAATTGAGCTGTTGTTTTTCTCCCTGCCTAAGGACATCTCCAAAGCCACAGTTAAGACACCTTGACACCACCTCACCATCAGCTGAAGTGTGGTACCAAGTATGGATCTCTGAGAGTTTAAGGGGTTGATCATTCAAACTGGCATACCCACACCTGGGGTATTACACTAGTCTTTTGTATGTCTAGGCACTTGACTTCAAAGCCCTTCAGGGAACAACTGCAATTAAGTTCCTGTTTGATGTTCTTGAATGCTCTCTGGTGTCCTTGTGGATTTCAGACCACCTAACGCCTGAGTGATTTGGCTCCTGCCATTGCATCAGGCAAGGGCCACACCTAATCAGTCACTAACAAAGACCCTGTCACTCAAACACTTGGTCTATCTGAACCATGTCAAGTCCCATTCTTGCAAGTGAGGCATGAAAGGCTGGTGGGACTTCATGGGTAGAAAGAGGAAGAGAAGAGAGAATAGCATAAGAATCCAAGCATGAATGGTCCAACAGGTAGTGCATAAATGCATAGCAATCTTCTCATTATATTTGATGGCTGCTTAGAACTGACAGCCACAATGTATTGTCCTCCCAGAGAGAGGCGTTCCCAAACAAGTTCTCCTCCATTTAGACAAGCCAGGTGGTTGCTAATATAGTGGTGGCATTTAGTGGCATTTCAAAGCATTTTGATTATGCTAAAGTGTCAAAGCTGAAAAGACAGGACCACGCTTGACTGATTGTGTATTCTTCAGAATGGGAGAGAGTGGGGTTTCTTTACCCGTAATATCAAGCCATGGCTGTTCCTATCTCAACAGGAGTCACAAGTCTGCTGAGACAGACCAGTGGTCCTGACACCACAAGCCCACCAGCAGTTTGGGTCAAAGTAGGAGAGACGTATGTCTCCCCTGGGTCTGTGATTGAAATAAGCTAGCGCTCTTGAAAAGGTCACTCTTCTGTGCGGATGTCACAAATTGATCGGTAAAGGGCTGAGGCTGATGCTTGAATAGCTAATTACTCTAAGTGTCTTACATGTCTGGACCAAGAATATGCACAGCTGACATTTTCATTTCTACATTTTGTTCTGAAATGAAGATGTGGAGGTATACTCTGCACTGTGTACATAAGAAATGGGGAGCGCATCAAGTGTAACTTTATTGCTAAAGGTATATAGTGTAAAATGGAAACCTCAGATGGCATATAGGTTTTACTGAAATTACTTCTTATATATGACATCCTGTGCAAAAATGCAAAATAATGCTTGTAAGCATTCTTTGCTAATCTTAGAATAAATATAGAATTCAGAACCATTAGCCAACTGTGCGGTGAAACACCCACATACATGCACACTAGTGAATACACACACTAGGGGGCAGTGAGCACACTGAACATTAAAATAAATTGTAATTTAAAGCTCCTCCTACTTTATATCTAACTTCCTCCCCCTGGGGGACGTGTCTGCTGGCCTTCTAGCTTAAAGCAAAAGCCAACCAGTTCTCACTAATCTCTCCCCTCCTTGACATAAAAGCCCTTCTCATACTACTACACTATATCGTCAAACATATGTGGACAATCCTCCTAATTGTTGAGTTCAGGTGTTTCAGCCACACCCATAGCTGACAGCTGTATATAATCAAGCACATAGCCATGCAGTCTTCTTAGACACACATTGGCAAAAGAATAGGTCATACTGGAGAGTTTAGAAGCAACAACGGCTCAGAAACAACACTGTACACTACCCAGACTCGCAGAGTGAGGCCACCGAGTGCATCCTCTGATGCATCACTCACACAGTTTAGAGAAACTCCCTCTGGAAGGCACATCAGCACAAGAACTGTGTGTTGGGAGCTTTATGGAATGGGTTTCAATGGCTGAACAGCTGCACACAAGCCTAAGATCACTATGCTCAATGCCAAGTGTCGGTTAGAGTAATGTAAAGCACACCATCACTAGACTCTGGAGCAGTAGAAACATGTTCTCTGGAGCGATGAATCATGCTTCACTGTCTGACAGTCTGATGGATGAATCTGGTTTAGTGGATGCCAGGAGAAGCTACCTACCAAAATGCATAGTGCTAACGGTAAAGTTTGGTGGACGAGGGATGATTGCCTGGGGGCAAGACCCCTTAATTTCAGTGAAGGGTAATGTAAATGCTTTAGCATACAAAGACAATTATATGCTTACCAATTTTGTGATGACTATTTGAGTATGCAGAGAAACAGATGGACTACAGTCAGTAGAACTACAAAGTGCACTTATATAGTAAGTGGAGCTGATAAAATGGACAATGAGCGTAGAAACAAAGAGGTGGTCATAATGTTATGCCTGATCTGTGTATGTGTGTGTGTTTTAACTTCAAATATTATCTACATATCTTTGATTTATTTACTACAAAAAAGCTGCTTGACCCCTCTGCAAAAAAAAAAAGCCAATCTTGTTCAGTGTTTAGTAGTCAAATGGTGTAGTACTGGGCATAGAAATCTGCGATATCTAGATGCAAAACAAAAAAATAAATCCTGTAACTTGAGATAACTTGAAGAATGTTTTAAAATGATAAAAGTATTTTATATATAAAATAGATGTAAAGCATAAATAACTAACTAGAAGAAATAAATGTCAATACATGTTAAAGTGGAGGTAATTTTTACAGGTCCTCCACTGCTTTCTCCCACAAAAGACCAACAGGACTGATCTAGGTTAAGGTTAGAACACCACCTAGTGGTCACTTGATGTCCCATTCACACAGCACTTGTGCTCAACCTCTCCAGATCTTTTAATGACATGATGTTTAGTCAGGGCTGCATGTGGTCAGCTGAAGTCAGCTGAATCAAGCTAACTCAATTAATATGAGGGCAATTCTGAATGCCTTGACTATGACAATGACCATAAGACAAAATATTTCAGTAGAAAAGTTTATTTTCATATTCAAGCTATAACCATCCAAAAACAAAGGCACATTGACATGATAAATCAACTATATTTTAATATTGTACATTTCTTATTCTGTACATTCAAGTACATGAGCAGTTCACTGAATATTTTGATGTTTATTTCACATGACTACTTTTCTTTCTGGCTGTGGATTAATTAATTAAGTAATTAATACTTCTGGTTTATGCCACAGGTAGCAACTGTTGTGCAGAGCACGAGTATGTAATACAATTATATTACGGCATAGTATATTCCAAGAACATTAACAATTACAGTTCCATGGTAAAGATTTATAGTTACTTATCTTTTTGTAAACAAGACTTGTCAACTTTAAAACTAACCTGTGTGTTTAGTAAAGTATGTACAGTTCTCTGTAGTTTAACATTGCTAGCGGTGTTAAAGTGATCTATAAAAAGTGCACTGTCTAGGAGAGAATAAAGTAATGGGAGAGAAATTAAAACAACAATGTGCATCTCCTGTTATTGAAACTTCTACCAGTATTTAAGTTAATCATTCACCTTTCTCAGCACTTCAGAGTCAGTATGCATTTCACAACAACCCCTGCATAAAACAGTACTTAAACATAGTTTGTAAATATCACCTGCACCGGGAACTGGGCGAAACATTTAAGTTTCACCTTACAGTAATAGTTTACCACAATTTTCCTTTTACCTTAAATTAGCATCAGGCAAACTGCAAGACTAAACACACATTTGCCTCAAACTGTGCAAAGTTGTTAGGTACAAAAGTACAGACAAAACTCAGGCTTCAGTATAGATGCTGCTACTGTTTTAGTTATGCAATATATTTTGGTCCACTTTTATAAATAACAGGATTTCACATAGAAGCATATCAGAAGCCACATAGGCAAGTCCATTTGAGATTACATAACTAGACATGGTTTTACGCAAATGTGTGATGAGGTAGGCATCCAGTTTGTATGATGTTAATTACTTGTTGGCTACATTTGCCTCATAGCCCCAGCAAAAATGCTTTGACTGACTTAGTTTGGGGAAAGGGAAAATTGTGTAAATAATATTTTGCGATGAACTTCTGTTGTAAGTGCTAGTATTTTTTGCTCTTGGTAAAGTTCTTCTACTTCACAAAACAAACAAACAAAAAAACAAGAACAAACCACAAGTTTTCCATGGTTTTGCTTAGAGATGAAGGAGCAGGGTAATACAGTACAATGGGAACAGACAGATTACTCTAGTCTTTGGAGTTGTGTAGCAGTGGAGTTCTTTCATTGTCCAAAGTGCTCGCGTCCACATCTGTGCAGGGCGGGCCAGTCCTCTTACTGTTTATCTATGAACATGGAGAGAAAAGGGTGAGGCTGTATTACATTCACATTGCAATGGTAAAAAACATGTTAAGACTTGCTTTTTCATATAGGGGATTTTTTTTAATGAAAAGAAATTTAAAAGGACAAAGGTTTGCACCTGTAAATGCATAAAAATTGATAAAACTGCAAAATGTGGAAATAAAAGGTAAGGTATACAGTGAATGGAAAATTATGTCATTATAATGTATAACCCTGCCCATCAGGATTCATTTCATTCATTAGCTTAACTTTATGCATTTTACAAATATTACATTTATAAATACTTAAATTCCCAGGTCACTTTATTAGGTGCAGCTGCCTTGTACCTACACTCATTGTCAATTATTTTAGGTCCACTTACTCTATAGGTGCACTTTGTAGTTTTACAATTACAGATTATAATCTGTTTCTCTGCATAATTCGCTAGCCTTTTATCAATGATCAGGACTGCCACAGGACCACTGCCATGCAGGTATTATTTGAGTGGTGGATAATTCCTTGACACTAACATGGTAGCAGCGTGTTAGCATGTGTGTTTGCTGCACAAAGTGTATCACACACAGCAGTGCTGCTGGAGTTTTTAACAAACACCATGTCACTGCTGGACTGAGACTAGTCCACCAATCAAAAATAAATCCAGACAACAGTGGTGGTTCTCTGGGGGTCCTAGCCACTGATGAACAGGGTAAAGAATAGGTAAAATTTTCCAGATAAACAGATTGCAATCTGAACCACAAAGTGCACCTACACTCACTGAACACTTTAATAGGAACACAATACTAATACTGGGTACGGCTTCCCTTTGCTCTCAAAACAGCCTCAATTCTTCATGGTATGATTCCACAAGGTGTAGGAAATATACCTTTAAGATTCATGTCTATTTTGACATGACTGCATCACGCAATTCCCCATTTGTCAGGCGTACTTTCATGCTGCAAATCTCCTGTTTTACTACATCCCAAAGTTATTCTAATGGATTCAGATCCGGTGACTGGGAAGGCCACTGACTTTTGCTTTGTGACATGGGGCATTATCTAGCATCATCATTATAATTTAATTATAATTTTATTATGATTTAAGATTTTTTTCATTCTCCTATAGAGTTACCGTTTTGGAAGTGCAAGATTTTCTTTTGACAGGTGTCGATATATTTTATATAATATAATGTGTGTGTGTGTATATATATATATATATTAAAATATATAATATATTAAATATATTTTATTTTAAGCTTTTATACAGACAGACATACACAGTGTCTGCTCTGTCATCAGGAAAAGGCTCACAAAACAAGCAATGGACACAAGATGTGACTGACAATAACACTTGCTACAATGAACTTCAACAGAACAGTGGAGCCAAAGTACACAATAAAGGTGCCAGAAAGGGTTAAGTGGTGCTATAGAAGAACCACTTTATGAGTGTGAAGAACCTTAAAAGGGCTTCATATATTTTTGAGTGTGAATACCCTTTTAGACGCTTCATATATTTTATTTTATAAACCTTTACATTATGTGGAGGTTCTTTAAACTTGCACAAGGGGTCATCACTCCTACACATCTCATTTACAAAAGCACCATCTGTTAAAAGGTTCTTCAGGGAACCAAAAGTGGTTCTTCTGTGCCACTGCACAAAGAACCCTTTCTGGCACTTTTACTTAGTTGTAGGTGCATCACCAGTGGACACAGAAGTAAAACTATAATGTGGGTTCACCTAATAAAAGTAGCCAGTAATATGTATTCCAAAAGGGATATCTTTGATTTGTATATCATTTAGATATAAATGTTTTCAGCAAAAAAAAAAAAAGTGAAATCTGAAATTGTTTTGCAATCCCAAAATAAAGATTACATTTACTTTTCAGCACGTATACTCATCGGCCACTTAATTAGAAACACCAACTTGTAGCTCCACCTTGCACGTGTACAGTTATGTAAATCACATATTAACCACACTTATAGCATTTCATCAGTTTCACAGTCTCTCTACAGAACCGCTCTTAGCTAGATTTTCCAGGCAGGAACACTGATGTAACTCCAGCTACACCACTGTGCCCGATACTCTTGTACCAGCACCACACACACTACCATGCCATTACCAAGTCAGTGTCAGTGGTGTGTTGAGAACAGTCTACAACTCAAATAATCTGGTCAACAGCAGTCCTGTAGTCAGAAGCTGACAATATTAATGGGGTAGACAAATTGCACAAGACAGCAGATCCGCTTCTGTCTGTATTTGTACATCTATAGTACTGTGCAAAACAACACTCATTTTTATATAATTTCTAGTCAAAACAGCCATTAAGTAAGTTATTTATTTATTTTTCAGTGTCAAGAAAAACTCAGAAGATTTAACAGATAATTTAAATGAAAACTACACAGAAGTCTCAACAACTCCGTATTTAGTGTCTCTACCCTTTACCTTTATTATAGCTTCCATTCTTTTCGGGAGACTTGTTTTCAGTTTTTCAAAGACACCTGCAGGGATATTTTTCCACCTCCAAAGTTCAGTCGTAGAAGTTGACTGCATTTTCTGCTTCTCTCAATCCAAGTAATCCCAAAGCACAAATTTGGACTCACCAAAAGAAAGGTGCTCTCTGATGTTTGCACAGTACAGAGTGTAACCCATCTGCTATCATGCACAATTGCTCAAAATAACCCCAAAAGACTCCCTTTGTCCAATGCATGTCCACTGTTTGCTGGGAGATGATTATGGTAAACTAGAGATCAGTGATCTTGGCTAACACAAGCAGTCTTGGTTCACTACAAGTTGATTGTTTCAGCCATTCTGCCCTTGAGATTGACAATTAACCCCGCAATATGCTGCAGGCCTCACCCTGTGAGCAAGTCAGTCAACATGGTAATTGTGAAGTCAGTCAGTGATGAGACAAAGAATGAAATGGTAAAACAGAGCAGTTGCAGTGACTAAATAACATACATCTGTGTGTTAACTGTTTCTTTGTGCAGCCTTAGGCCTCTTACAAGCAGCTAAAAATGGAAGAAGAGTTTGAAAAGGAGGCATATTTCAGCAAAAAAAAAAAAAACCCACCTGTATTTTTCATGCTATATTTTTCGCTCTGCCTCTCATTGGTACTTGAGTTGTGTTTTGTGTCTTTTACGCTTTCCTAAAAGAATAATCAGACCTGGTTTAAAAAACTGTTGGGAAGACATGCTTTTAAGTGGTCCTCCAACTGATTATTACAAAGATTGTAAAACTGTAAAATACAGTGGAAGGTAATTTTGTCTCACTCTTTGTTTAATTGTGTGGGTAATTAAAAGTTGTTACAAGACTTTCTACAAGAGTGCGGTTCTTACAGGAAGAGTGTGCTGAAGCATGCAAGGTGTGTAGACAGCGGAGGTGGAGATGAACAGAGGCATGCAGGTTGTTTAGATTATGCAGTGGTTAAATAACAGGAGAGTTTTGATCTACCTTTTGACTTAGTCAGACAAAAGAGGTATGAGGAATCACACTGACTTCACATATGATCACTGAGGACATTCACTGAAGAATAATCCGGTGAAATGGGCAAAGAATTTGTTTTTTAAATCAGCTTTTGAAAGATATAACTAGCTTAATTTAACATGAATCAGATTTGATCGACATTTAAAAAACATTGACTTAAATAAAAGCTGACCCCCTTGTCTTCTATGACTCCACATGCGCTCCTTTTCTTCTGTATCTGTAAAACATATTATGCAACCATTTCCCTGCTTTAGAATGAATTACAACATTTACCTGCAGTTGTGTAACATTGAGGGCAGAAACAAAAGTGAAAGTGAGTGGAAACGAAAGGGGATTAGGCATAACTTCTGGGCACCCCGGTCAAATAATGTTTTTTTGTTTTTTTTGTAAATGAAAAGTGTATTATATCCTCTGCAGAGAAAACACTTTTTTTGAATTTAAAAAAGAAAAAACACAAAACGTGGCCTTATGTGCATATGGCACATTTTATTTATGTTATGTTTTATTTTTTTCTAATGTTAAACTCAGCAAATAAATAGCAATTACATAGTAAATTTGCCAAAAAACATGATATTTAACTCTCTGTAGAGGAAGTGGTAACTTGTTTCACTTAGAAAATCCACAAAACAAAATGTAATTTGACCAGGGATTTTAAAAACCTTTGACTGTACCACAATAATATAAGAAGATACCAACTGATGCATCTGTGCAGTTAAATAAAGGGAATTCATGCAAGTGTTACATTTTGGGGAGGTGGGGCAAAAAAAAAAAAAATTATCACATGAGAACTTTCATTAGATCTTCCATTATAACTTACCTTAAAATACAAACACTTGACGTCATTATATGCAAATACAGTAGGGCTGGACTGATATGAAAATTTTGTGATCAATACTCATTTTAAGGAGCTTAAAATTTGGATAACCAAATGTATATCGGCAACATACATTCAAATATACCCTAATCTTCAAAAGTTTGGAATCACTTATATAAATGTTAATAATTTTTAATAGTATTTATATATAATAATAACTGATTCAATATGGACTCTGATTTGAAATATTACAACATATTTGCCAAAAGGCATTTATTGATGTTTCATTCAATATTTCAAGAACTCTGTGAACAAGAATTGAATGAAATAATAAATAATTATCGCCAAAAATCTATTTACAGAATTGTATGGCACATTTTTTGACTTTTTCTGACCATTTTTGAAATATGACAAATTCTGGACATTAATTGTTATTCGAACTTAATTCTTAATGTTCTACATGTTTCTCAGCCATTTTAGAATCTTCTATGGCCTTATTCATCATTCTGGACATATCTAAAATTTCTTCATTTTTGACGCTACACAGGTCTAGCATACATATTTTTGTAGTCAAAATGTTACAATATAACATCAATGCCAAGACATAAAACAAGTCTCTAAATATTGGCATTTTATCGATTGAACTTTCAACGATACTGATAAGGCCACTGGACCTTAAGATCAGTCAATATTACTGGCCAACCGATTTATCAATCAGGCCCCAAAATACAGCCAAGTACAATTTGGTCCTCCACAAATAACACAGCGAATGATGATAGTATGCAAAAAAATGATGTACCTTTTCACTCAGTATTAAAGCCACAGCTCCGATGATACACCCCAGTCCAAATCCAATGAAGATGTATTGCATATACTCCATTACCATGGGTAAAATCACCAGGTTCGTACGAAATGTGTTGAGTACAGGGCCGTCAATGTAGCCACTCTGAGAAAGAAGACAATTTGATAGTGTAATTCAGACATAATGATTCCAAAAAAATACATAAACAAATAATTAAATCAATTTAAAAAAAATAAAAAATCATGAAACATGTTTTACTGAAATGTGTTTCACTATCTTATGGGGTACATTTAATTTACACTGTGTCTCAAAAGGCTCTAGTCTGCACTTGCACCTTTTTTTGTTTGTCCTGAGGTCAACAAATGTCAAAATATGGCAAAAATGTAAATTATTTTCTTTCAGCAAAACAATACACACAACAAAAGCTCTTCATCAGATTCAAATCATACTAAAACATTTCATCTTTTACTTATGAACAAAAGTGCCCAAATTTTGTCTATGTGGGCCAAAGTGCATGTCCGTGGTGGGCTGAGGACCAAAAGGACAAAACAAAGCACAAATAAAGAAGCTTGGTATGTTTCAAATCAAGTTTTTAAAGATGTATTCTGTAACATAAAACTATATTTTATTATCTTAAAAATTCAGAAAAATTACAGAGTAAATTTTGTATCGTATAAAAAGATATTTTCTCATTGGGTGAGGAAACAGGGGGATAACTTTCTGGTGGGCCAATTCACACTTCCTCATGGGCCAACTCTGGCCAACCACCTTTTAGGGAATGTTTGTTTCAATGGTCTTGTTATCATCAGTGAGAACGGTAACTTAAAAGAGCTAAGGTGATTATCTTACGTGATTATCACATCATTTTGATTATCATGCTACAACTTACTTCTCCAAACCAAATCATTGGCATGACCACTTCAGCTATTTTGCCAGTTTCTCTAAAGAAAGAAAGAAAAAAAAAAAAGAGACATCACAGGTTTTAACCTAAACAGCTTCGCAAAACTACATACTCAGAGATAATATTTTATGTGTATATATTTATATATATATATATAGTTACAAAATAACCACAGTCAACCAGTCAACTGTACTTACGTTATTCCTGAGACCCGTTTCATAAGCAGATTCAACTGCAACTTGATAGAGACATTCATAGGCACTCCAGTCTCCTGTAAAGCAATAAAAGAAGTCATGAGCCTGCAGCTTGGAAGACATAATGCAGTACATTTAACTCCAGCAGATAAATTAGTTTAAACTTAAGATTAAGATTTGCCCTACCCAAAGGCTAATGACCCTAGGAAACACTTACACTATGAATGCTGGTGAGGCTCCCTCTACAAATACTAATAAGAGAAAAATGACTAAACAGAACTGATACATGGATGACTATGCTCTGGTTGTTCAGATGTACACTAACTCCTGAGGAAACTGTGGCAAAATGTACAAAAGTCATGTCTACATAACTCATACTCATACTAATACATTTACCCTTCTTAGAAATCACAGCATGACATCACTTGAGGTGAGCACTGTATGTTTATTAGCGCCACTGATTTGAAAGTCATTCACTAAAAGCTGATACTGCAGCTAAGAGGGGGACAAACTAATGCCTGGATACAAAGTGTATCTAGTCAACAGTGTTGTGTGCTAAAAACTGCTTTATGTTATGAACTTAACCTATGCTCATGGGCTGGACTAGTGCTATCAGTGAAAAGCACAGAATGTGATGATCAGGACAAAGGTGGCATTAGTAACTGTATGAAAAAAAATCTTACTGAATTCAAATTCACTAACCAGTAAACAAACACAATATATGCACTATATATTTACATATATACAGCGTGGCCTGTAAGTATACAGTGTTGAAATTGTATTGAGCAGTATGGGGTGGGGGGGCATATTTGTGTTGTGTCTTGAATGCTGGTCTGCCGATGAACTAGCATGACCATCTAAACTAGTAACTTTTCATAACCATCACAACCATCATTAACCAGCCAAGACTAGCATGGAATTTAAAACTTTTTGATGTGTTAAAACATTTTATGTAAAAAATCCTTTGGGTGGAAGCTATAGATTTAAAGCTATTGACAATTGACACCATCTGATGACAAATCAAACATAGGTTATATTCTATGAATGTCAACAAAATGTTTGTCGATATCTGAAATGTCACAAAAACAAATCGGAAACTTTTTTCTTCAGGAAAAAAATAATGCATTACACATTAGTGTCATCTCGCTGATGTCTCTTCAGATGTCTCTTATAAGAAACACAAACAGCATGGCGGAGAGGTACAGTTGGACTGAGGAAAAGATCAGAGCATTTTTAAAAAGAATATTGCCACTTTTTAGCTCTTACAGCAAGAGGTGTGCAGAAAAAGCCAAAGCCTTTCTAACTGGAAAATGCTTAAACTGTTACATAAACAGTGCCTGATGGTTTTCTGCAACAGCTTAGTTATTTGTTTCTGTCCCAGATGTCAGAGTCCTGCCGAGGAAACGTTTCTGCAGGGACTTCAGGGACTGTTTGGCTCATCATGGAGCTTGTGAGAAGAAATATTAATTGACTTAGGCTGAAATTACAAGCACATGTACAGTGAAAAGCGGGGAACATCTCGATCTAGATATTTTTCCAGAAGATGCCCCTAACGCTAACGAAAGACAGCATGCCAACATCCGAGTCATGGTTTCGCAATTCAGTAAGATCCAGTTTGGCCCCTTCCCTGCTAATCAGAACTTATAAAGTGGATGGCTATCTTATCATGCAGTTATCTGTGTGGCAAAAGGCTCTCTGATATAAACAAACCATGTAGTCTACTGTGTGTCAGTCACTTCGAAACATCACACAAACAATCCAATTGCATTATAATATTCTATTCAACATGCAGCTCTTCTTCCTGCAGATAGTGCAAGGCAAAGGGTCCAGTTAACAATTATAATCTTACAGGTTTTAGTTATTTATTGGCCATATTAAAACCAACAGCTATGAAAACATTTTAGCTGATTCAACAGACTGGAATCAGAAGAGCAAAGTTTACAACATTACCCAATGAAATCTATGGAATCTTCAGAGCTGTGAATTTGTTTATAATGGACCACATGTTTTCGGAGGGCCCTCAAAACACCATAAATGTCATGATAACCGTAATCAAGCCATGGTACTCAGGGCAATTTCCAATTAGCTTATCAGATGTCCTCACTGTTTATTGCAGGCACTTCTCAGTAAAGCATTAACATTATCATACGACTGTAAAATCAAAACCGTTGACGCACACGGAGGAGTAACACCACTGCTCAATCTTTAGAGCCCAAGTTAGGCCATTAAAATAATATGAGGGACAACATAGTTAAAGTCACTGAAGACATAATACACAGTAAATCACGACTGTCAGCTTTTCTCTCTTATTGGAGCAAGTCTATAAGGTAAACTATTTAAAAAAACAAAAAGGGATATTTATGCAACACATGTAGATAACACAGGTGAAGCCTACATTTACAGCCAATTTTAAAGATAAAGCAGTTACAACTTAAGATCTCAAAAGCCATAACTCCATTGCAACTAACCTTGAGTGATAAAGCCCTACTCTTTCATCCAAGTGGTGAAGGGAAAGGTTATTGAAGCTGCATTCTACAGGCCTTTCTCCTCATGTGTAAAAAAAAATGCAACATGAACATACATGCTCCACAGATTGTTCAATCACCCAGATATTCATTTGTATAGCAGCCAGGTTAAAGAAAACCTGGTGAGTAAGTGCAATACAAGGTGTAAATTGGCAACAGTGTAAATGGCTACAGGAGCTGTTGTATACAGCTTTGGTTTTGTCATTGATTTTTTAATGAGAGGGCTCTATATACAATACAGGTACAGGTCCATTTGGAAGCTGTAAAGATTCTGTTTGTGACTTATTGTTATTCGCTGTCTCACTTTTTGTACTTACTTATTTTTTGGTAATACCCAAAAATGTACTGTTTTGTAATTTTCACTGTTGTCTCTATAACACAAATGTTTGTTGAAGGGATAAATGACAAGCCATTTTCTTAGAAGACATAAAAAATAAATTATCAAATCAAACTATGAATCCACAATCGAACAGAGGTGGACTCTTCAAACAAATAGCTGTGCAAATTGGTAGCTATTAACTTACTAAGCAAGATATTTGTTTTGCCCATTCAGAGTCGGCACTGTAAAGCTGCTTTGCGACAACAGCTATTGTAAAAATCCCTATATAAATAAACCTCGACTTGACTTAGCAGCTGTATGAATCCTCTAGGGAGAAGTAATAAGTAATATGTAACTGCTGCTCCATTTAAGGTGGGATAGAAAATTCTAACAAGAAGCTGACTAACTTTATCTTCGCATTTTACCCTTGCTATAGTAACTAATGCATTTGGGTGATGTCTTTTCAAATGCATATTTAAGGTATTCATTCAATCTACCACTCTCTGCACATCATTGTTGTACTCATCATTGTTGAGAAACCTTACCATTCACAGTGCATAAGAAATGAATACTAGCATGCATGTTGTGACACCCCTACTAAACTGTGGTTAAAATCCTATCAGGTAACAATCCATATGCAAGTCCAATGAAATGACGAGATGTAAACTGGAGGTCTTTTAAAATTACTGTTGCTCTGATTTTTGCTTATTTTAAGAGCCTAAAAATCAAGGGGATATCGTTGCATCACATGAATTAATAGAATTCTTCTTACAGGGTGTATGTCAATGAAGAGCCCATGGTCCTCCTCATTAGGGCTAAGTCCCGTGACCGTCTCCAACAGAGCAGGGTCAGCATTGTAGAAGTGAGGGTGCGAGATGAACACAGGAGATTCTAGGAGGAAGAGCAAAAATTTCTTACACTGGTTATTTTGCTTGGTTGCAAGGATTTTTCATTATTCTGTGAAAATACAACAAGAGAAAAGAATTTGAATTGATATGTACAGTTTAGACTTTTTAATTTCTTTTATACATCAAATTGTATTGCTTTATAAAAAAAAATACCAAGACCAATAGAGTGATGAACTATTTGCATCACTATTTAGGGCAGTTTAGTTGACGACAAAACTAAAGCTGCAGTGGATTTAGAATTTGTGTGTGAATTGTACATAATCGTATGACTGCTAGAAACGGCCTTATTTCCAAGTACTATGCAACATTAAAAAACCCACAAACTGCTAATAAAAGGAGATTGTGGGGTTTAAGATGGTTATATAAAGCATAAAGAAATGTAGAGGGATATGCACAGGTACTGGAGTATTCAGTTAACTGTTTGAGGTACATTATTTAAATCCTCAAATCACTAATGAGGAATTTATTATGTTTCATCACGGGTAGATGGAGAAATTATACAAACATTTCAGTGATATAATTTTTAACGGAAGTGCAAAACGTTAGTTTTGCTCACGTTCATGGGTAAACTTTGCAAAAAAGTCCCTTAATATTGGAGCCAAGGTCGCGACTAAGAAGGCTTTAAAATTATTCCTCCGTGTGATGTGTGATGCTACATTTTTGTGCAACTCCACTCCGTGCCTCATAGCGGGACGCGACTGTTCTGCGGAATATTTCTGCTGCTGGAATTTTCCATCATGGCTCTGGTTTGCTATCATTCTTCTATCACCAACATGAAAATGCAGCATCAAATACAGCTCTACATTACCTGCAGTCACAATACATTTCTTCTTTTTCAGCATTGCTTGTTTGTCTTTTCCACAGTTAAGCATATAACTATTCATGAATTCTTACAGAAACTCAAACATCAACATTTTTAGAACGCACATCTCTAATGTGTATAGCATATCAGTACAAGGAAACTCACTGTGCCTGCAGGTGCTAACATTGAGAAGACCCGACTGTCTGCATGGGCAGAAGCCTTCATTTGGAGGGTAATCTGAGCCGTTGGCAAAAAGAGTCCTTGGGGCCACAAAACGGTACACAGGAATTCCTTTCATCATCCCTGGCCTTTGGTAAACCAGTTCCATTGACCTGAAAACCATGTTAGTAATTTTACTGTACTTGTCAAGCAAACAACACTGTAAAAGCATTGCTATATTATCCTAATAGAGGCTTCACAAATCAAGAGATGGCTAAAAGCAGCACAACATTTATGCTGTCAATGGTCACCAACCCTGGCCCTAGAGATCTACTTTCCTGCAGAGTTTGGTTCCAAACTGCATCCAACATGCTGCCCCCTCCCCATCCCTAACATTAATGCATCTGATCCAGCCAGTGACTAGTGAAGAAGTTCATTAGCTAGAGCAGGTGTGGCAGATTGTTGCTGGGACTGCTCAGGGGGTTAGATATCTAGGACCATCTGGTTATCTGGTGATCACTGGTCTACATTAATCAATTTGACAGACATAAATTAGCTTTTTAATAAATTAATTTTCATATATCCAAAGTTATTATAAATTTAGCTTGAAATCTAGTGGAAACATGGCAAGAGATGTGCTCAGTGCTAATTCTGACCATATTTCTGCATCACAAACAGGTACCCCATGTACCATCTGACTCCCACCACAATAAACTAAATCACAGATTATTAATTCTCTTATTAAACTCCTTGTAATTCATTATTCAGAATAAAAAACTGACTGTCCAAAGGTCATTACAGAAAGACATCTTGAATTCATATCTAATCAGATTAAACAACCATATATGACTGAGACAATATAGCCTGCTGTGCGAAAGGTTCCACCCAGCAGGATATCATCTGTATGGAAACAGTACCTGCAGGCATCCGGGCTGTAAAATGGCAAAGTGGATTCTGTGGTCATAAATGGAGGCCACATCTGACCTGCTGTTCCATTGATCATGTTGCACTGCTCGGAATTCCAGTAGTTCACCTGGTTCAGGCGCAAAAAGCAAAATATGAATTTTTGAGTAGAAAAATGGATTAGTCTGTGAGTAACATGACAAATACTGTCAGCTGCTGCAGACCCGATGCTTTAAACTCACATTCTTCATTCCATTCCAAGAATCCACTTTGTGAACTTTCCTGATGTCATCTTGACCAGTAAAGACAGTAAACAGTCCAGTGTTTGAGTTGTTAAACTATAATTAGAAAAAGATATAGATACAAACTATGTGACATAAAGGATTACTACATTAGCTTTATAGCATTAAAATACTATGTTATGCATTTGGATAGACATAAAATAGATACAGTACATCAACACTTCAACCTTTTCTCATCACACACCAAATGCTAAGGGATTCATCATGACTGATTACTCAACTAATTGCACATCATTCAAAAACCAACCTCAGCGAAGAGTCCAAATTTCCCTTTGATTGGAAGCATGCCAGGGAAGTAGCTGTTGAGGAAGTCCACCAACTTGCTGTCATAGCCCCACATGAGCTCACCAACTGTTTTAGTCAGGAAGGCACTTTCTTTAAAAGATCTGAAAGCAGCACTTATCACCACCCGCACTGGAAAGGGCATGTTCTCCATCATCACTGACGCTCCCTAAAAGCCAGATAATCAAAAAAAGTTAAAGGAATGGTTTGGGGGATCTCGCCGAATTAATTTAATTAAGGCCTGGAGACATCAACTAGCATAAAGCAAACAGGAGAAGTAAGAGTGTGATAACTAGCTCATGCAAGGTTTCATTCACTGTTAGCCACTCAGCATTTTAGAGTGAAGCATTTTTTGAAGCATAAATCATAAGCCCAGCACATAAGCATGTTTTAGTCTTTTTTAAACATTGTACAATACACAGTGTTCAATGTCTTACCAGCACCAACATATTTGGAATGGTGACCACATCAGATTCATTGCCTGCAGACATGCTCTCCTCAAAGAAATATTGCCGATATTCTTGATAAGACACTGTTTTGTTGTCGTGGAATGTGATATTATCCTTCCATCGCTTCTCACTGAAAGAAAACAAAACGGAAAGAATTGGTGAGTTGAAAACTTTTTTTCAACCTAATATCCATCAGCCCTATCTGTATTGCATGGTCAGTTGCCAAAGACATATTACATATTAAAGAAATATTACTTTAAATCTAAGGTTCAACATCAATATGTCACTGTTTTCAGATAGTCAGCTTTAGCAAATGGAAGTGCTTCAAATACCAGGTCAGCATTAATGTATTTTTAGAAAGCAATGAGATAACTATGCAGATAGGCACGAGTTTGCAACCCCTCTAGATTGCAAAAGCTGCACACATGATTTGAGTATTATGAGAGGTAAAGGGGGCTTCCTCAAATGTAGGTCACATGATTGTTATCCAAAACAGGAAACCACAATGGAGCTGTAGGGAAAAGGCAATGGACCTTATCCTTGAAAGCATCTGACTTCACACGTGCTAAGTGACCACAGTCGAAACAAGAAGCAGATTTAGAAAAAAAAATAATAATTTGGGGTTTTGAGTGAATACTCAATGTAACAGTATATTATGTAATAGCTTTCAAAATGTAAATAAGAGTATATATTTGTCTCACTTTATCTGTTTGCATGTGGGGCTCACTGGGGGATTTTGTAGTGACTATTTTCCATTCCCTAAAATAAAGAGACTAGGGCTGTCATAATTATTCAATTGAATTTGATTACTGGATTAAAATAAAATATGACTGATTAAAAATGATCTTTTGCGTATTTTAAATTGACTTTCCTCTCTCTCACACAGCACCAATGGACACACCTATCAGCACATTTTCTGAAGAATAAAATACTAGTTTTTGTTAATGAGGTGTTTGTCCAGTGTATTATATAAGGAACAAAAATCAACATCAAAAATAACAACAAAAAACTGATATACAGATGCTTCCACACACTGTCCCATGATGTGCACTGCCTCAGGACAAGATTAAGCCAAAAGTTTATGGTTTAAAAATTTGGGCTTGATGACTGTGCAAGAAGAATGCGTTTCAAAAGAAAAGTCAGAGAAAAAAGCCTGTCAATGATTTTAGATATATCTTCCTCCACTAAAATTGAACAATGGCTTATCTTGTAAACATGCATAACAATTAGGGGTGGGAATCTCTAGGCACCTCACGATTCAGAGGGCTGCGATGCGATTATAAAACGATTATCGATGCATCTTTTTTTTTTCTATACAGGACTTATTTTCTTACTGTGCCAGGACTTGGTACGTTTAAAGCAAAGTATTTGTAATGATCTATAATGCATTTACGTCCAATATCTTTTATTAATAAATCAAATGGAAGTGATGTGGCAAGTGAACTAGACGGCTCTCATTCACTGCTATTGCTTGGAGCACATGAGACGCTGCTGCCACTCATCTGCGAGAAAATGCGCGGTGAAATAAGATCCAGTGGTAATGGATGTCCATGCAGCACGTTACAGCCAGCCTGCCCGTTTTCGTTAGTGATTTTATAACTTAGGTTTTGGTCTCGTTGTAGAGAAAGGTGGGGGGATTGCTGTGTCAGTAAAATATCTTCGGGACGTGTGCAACATAGCGCGAAAGCCCGGTTTCGCAACGACTGAGAACTGGCAGACTGCAGGTCACCTAGCAACGATGCGTTATTCGCATTTATAAGCGCTGCTGTTGGTTTACTTGCAAGCTAAATCTGCAACGAGAGACTATCAAACAATAAAAAGTTGCGAAGATGAAGTCGCTTCTCTTTCAAATTTTCCCGTTCCACCTTAAATGGTGCCGCATTTACATTCGGCACCTCAGTCACAATTTAAGGTGGAACAGGAAAATTCGAACGACAAGCTGGAGCGACTTAAAGAAGCGAATTCAGCCTCGGAAAACAGGCGAACTTTGAGAGACAAGAAACTAATCTACTTTGGAGGAAAAGTTTTCTGGCGGAGATGGGAGGAAAGCGGCTATAGTTAAAGCTTAAAGCAGAGCAAAGTAAATCCGCGTTTTCGTTTATATTTTAACCTAAATTATAGCAGGACATTAACACATACTGGACATAAATGTTGTGGCTGCCAAGGTGGTTTGATTTTTGTTGAAAGGCCAACATGTCTCTTCTTAACATGTGGGTTGTGACTCCTGACCTAACCTGGCTTTTGATGCAGAGGGAGCCGGTGTTGTATACGATTCAGTTCCTCCTGGAAATCATGTTCCCTTTGAGAAATCAGGTCCTCGGGCACGCGCACTCAGGAAACAAAAACCAACGCCAGGCAACGCTGGAACTACGGGAAGCGAAAGGGTCCAAAAAGCGTGTTTCCACCGGCGGAGAGCAATACGAAAAGTATTTCCCAGTAAAATGCTTCCAAAATCGGCCTTTTGTACGATTTATTTCTGTTCACTGTGATATAACATTATTTCTGAAATGTCAGTGCTGTGTTTGTTGTGTTTATTAACCGCCGCTCGTGAAAATAAAAAATATAGTCATCACGATAGTCTCATGGTTACTGTTATTAAGAACGTCACGTTTTGTTGCACTATATAACACAAACATAACACAACTCAGTATGTTTATGTGGTACAGACTTCACCATGCTGCAAACTGTGTAAACAATAGGACCATATGTAGACGAGTGAATAGTCTCATCCAAATGTGTTCCCCCTACCAAATATAACTCAAGACGTATCTGTTATAAAAACTAATATACGGACTCTATTATTCTCCTAATTTAGTGTTACGCCAGGGTGATTGCTGTGGAGCAGAGGTTTTTTTTTTCTTTTGGGAAATACTTTTACAATACAAATACTTTACAATAGTATGAACATGAGTATTAATATAAATATGAATATAACGTTTCGATTTTCTATTTTCCCTCAAATACATGAGTTTTGCACTTTGTCCACTACTATTTTTATTACATTGAAAAAGCAGACACCTTTTCTTTTTGTTTTACACAGATTGCGTGTGATAAATGTGAAAGATTCCACACAGTCTGCGTCAATAACCCTGAACTAGAGGGACAGTATACATGCAGAGCATGTGCATGTGTGTAATTTCTGTAGATTTTTGTTAATCAATGATTTCCTTTGTGTTATTTTTTTTCTTGAGTGTCACTTTTTTCCTTTAAAGTGTTATTTTCAACATTGGTTTTGTACAAGTATTGTTAACAAACAAAAATGTGGAACAAATAAAATTGCAAATAAAATGATGGAAAACTTTGCTAAATACTATGATTTTTGTTGCGTGAAGGAATTTTGTTCTGTCTTTAATAAAACAATCATTCTGTGTTTTTCCAGGTCATTTAAGGTCATACATATGTTTGAATCAGTGTTTTCCATCATATTACAAAAAAGCAATCAGTTACATTAGAGTCAACTGTTTGGAAGTACTCCTTTTATACTGAAACACTGAATCATCAGTGCCAGAACAATAATATTTGTGTTACATTGGTAAACAAGCAATGTCTGTCATATACATGCTGTTTACAAAGCCCCTCTGACCTATAATGGAGTAAAATTTTAGGTATTTCAAGGCTGTGTTTGTGAATGGTGAGAGATATAGATGAGGCATTTGTCCCTTTCGAAATTGATTCCCCTTACTAAACCCTTTGTGTGTAGGTTCTCTAAATAATTGGTGTAGCATGGCTTAGTTTGACCATAAGTATTTCATCACTATGGTTGGTGTTAAGGAGACCCCTTCCCTGAGCTTTATTTGCTGGAACAGCTGTGGGCAAGGCATTTAATTAATTCAAAGTGTATTTCCCAAAAGAAAAAAAAACCTCTGCTCCACAGCAATCACCCTGGCGTAACACTAAATTAGGAGAATAATAGAGTCCGTATATTAGTTTTTATAACAGATACTTCTTGAGTTATATTTGGTAGGGGGAACACATTTGGATGAGACTATTCACTCGTCTACATATGGTCCTATTGTTTACACAGTTTTTATATTATATATATATATATATATATATATATATATATATATATATATATATATATATATATATATATATATACTATACACACATACATACATACATATATATATATATATATATATATATATATATATATATATATATATATATATATATATATACACACACACACACACACACACACACACACACACACCACACACAGCCAGTATGCTGCATTCTGCCCCTCAGAGGCCAAATATTTCCCATTATTTAAGAATTCCTATTCCTAAAGCTGTCACTATAGCTCCTACAACATCTGAGTTTTTGGCATGGCAAATACCTATTATGCATGATGGACAAAAAAAATGAAATGGTGATAAAAGGGGTTAATTTTTCTAAACACTAAATGTTGCAGATACATGTGTGAGTACATACATTGATTCTAATATAATGCTAATATTCTATAGGTTTCAAACAATTTGTAGGAAACTGTAAAAATTAAGCAAATTTTCAGTGATCAACAGCTCTTAGATGACGCCATAATTTGAAAAAAAGTTGTAAAATGTTATTAATAAATGAAAACAATGTACAAATAAAATTCTCATAAATATATTGTAAAATTAATATCATCAATGCTTTATACTCAAAAATCAGTGACCTAATGGTTATTCATAGTAATTTCCTTACTTTAACTTTTACAATGTTACAACTTCTCATTGTTCTCAACATACTTTAAATTGTGAATAAACTAACGGCTTACATTTTGGTATCTAGTTGATAACATTTCAGTCTACATAGTATAAGCTGTTATTGATGAACAATTCTAAATATGACAAGTGATTCCAAACTTTAAAAGGTGCTGTACATTTTCAGAAAGGATGAGTGCACAATGACAAAATTGATCACACAACCATTTTCACATTGCAAAATTGTCTTGCAATATAAAAAAAGTCAGATTCCAGCTTATGCAAAATACCAATGAAATTTTAATTTGTGCACCCCCAACAGAGCCAGATCTCTTTCACAGCTTAAATGCACAAAAACCAGGACCATCCCAGGTATTAGTAACAGAACACTTGATAAAAGTCATGCCACACACCTGTACACATATGGACCTCTTTGCTCAACCATGGGCTTCTCTCCTGCCAGTATCTCATCAGGGTTGAGGACATTGAAGAAATAAATGGACATGAAGAACGGTACAGGAATGTCCTTCCACATAGTATAGGAGAGTTCATTTTTGGGATTGATTTCTACATTCTGTGAGACACACAGCAGTACATGAGAGATATATATGAAACATTTTTTCAGATAACTAAGCTGTGCCAATTTGATGTTATCAAGGTGACTGACAAATCTCAGTGAATAGCCCAAGACACGATTAAACGTTTGCTGCCATGACAAATTCTGAAAGGACAAACAAAAAATACAAAAACAAATCATTATATTACTAAACACACAAACACACACACACACACACACACACACACACACACATAAATATATATAAAAAATATACTACACACGCGCACACACACACATATCAGTGCGTTCAGTTGGACACAACACATTTTGGGTTACTTTTAACAGAGAATGTGTTAAATCAGAAAACAGTATGACAGAAAAGGTTAAAATGGGTAACACAAGTTAGCGTTTTGGTAGTCTGTCATGAACACCGCGATAATAAATGCAACACACGTGTTCAGTCTAAGACCTGATCTGACCAACACTTTATAAAGTAAAACTTAGTTACACTTTACAAAGAAACAGATTTAACAAGGTGACGTCCGTTGTGCCATGGTCTAGACTGTTTTCAATGCTACCCTAACATCTGCAAGGTATGAGCGTCTAAAAGAATACAGATTAAAGCTGTACACTGTGTCACAGTCTCAGTCTTTTGCAACCAACTTACCTTCACTATTTGATCGTCGATAATAATCGGACCCACGAACACGAGAACAGTCCCAAAAACAACTGCAAAAATCCCTACGACTAAAAGTCCTATCGCTATTTTAGACTTCGATATGGCCATAGCTGACCAATGCAGAAACCACAAGTTGAATGTAGGGATTGAAGTCTCTTCAAAACGTTGCACTTGCTGGCAAACGGCTAGGTAAGCTCCCTGATCGATGGACTCCTAGTTTACAGGCAACAAAACTAAACTGACTGCATGCGGCTAAATCTACTTGCTTCCCCAAAATACTATCGTGTTAAGTTCAGAGAACACTACAGCATTCGAACATGCAACTTTCAAAACTCTGACCGGCTAACATTGCCCTTTTTAAAGGGAGCTTATGACATTGTACGTTAGGAGGCATGTTTATTATGACATAGCCCCTCCTTTAAACCACGGATTTCTGGGAATTGTAGTTAAAGGTACAAGGCTTCGTTTCGGGCAGCAGTAGAGCCTGGACAATCGGTTTTTGACCTATGTATATCTGCTGCAAATCAATATGGGTCACACAAAAGAGCTTTATGTTAAAAAAGACAACAAATACCCTAAGGCAATTGTGTGGATTTTTAAGAACCATTCTATGTAGGTGAAGCAGTATAATGCATTTGTATTGATATTGTAAATGGGTTATTTCTAAAAATGATGAATTAATACAAAACTTTGTCTTTCTTCTTGGAGAGAGTGAGGGACAAGCTGCACCACATAGATGGATCTCTCCCTGTTTATGAAACAATAAGTATATCTATCTTTACTTAGTCATTTTGCGACTAATATACCCACAAAACTTAACAAGGTGGGATTTATTAGTGCAAGTCAATCCCCATTTGGGAGTTTTTTTCTTTGCTTTTTTCGTCCTCCACTATTTAAAGATTTACATCATGACGCAAGGACAAGGATGAAGCAATATACAAGGATTGTATATTTGCCCATTTGATGTCTAGTGTCATGTTACACATGCATAAAACACACTGTTATACATGGATAAAAGATATGTGTGTCTTACTGATGGTTTGAGTAGGTGGTGAATCAAGATATTAAGATCCACCTAAAAGACATCTCCCAGTATAGGCAGCCATAAGCATTCACTTTTCATTACCTCATTTCATACTGTGACGTCAGAGCATGCCATAGAAATAATGGGTTAGCTGTTGCTAAAATGTTTGAGCATGCTAGGTTTAGGCCTTTTAGATTGTTAGAAACTATTATACTTGTTCTGTTGAACAGACTTTTATTCTGAAGGGCAGGGCTAGTTAGCAAGCTTCACATAAAGAGCTAACAGTAAGAAGTCAGCTAGGCTGAGGGCCATTTTTCCTCCTGTATTCTGTTTGCTGTGCCGAGTTCTAAGTAAAGCTGCATTATGTACAAGAACTTTGAGTTACCTGTCTTTCTTCTGAGAACCCCCCACGATACAATACTATGAAGTTTTTCTTAAGATGTCATTAGGTTTTAGTCTGTCTCAAAGTATATTAAGTACTTAAGTACCCAATATTAGGTGATTTGAAAGTTTTGAATTCACATTCTTGCCAGATGTGATCACAGATTATGTCAAGTGATTAATGTTTAGCAACAGGGTTTTTGTGTCCTGCCATCAGAGTGAACACTGCATCTCACTACCTTGTTAGTGTCTCTATGTGTTGAAAATGATCCACTATCTAAATTATTCCTGCTCAGTGGTTTTCCTGCAGGGGTCCATCAATGGTCATGTTAATAAACAGGGTAAAAGGGGAGCTAACAAATAATACATATAAATAGATGGACACTCTGTAAACTACAAAATGCACCAATATGGTAAGAGGACCTGAGATCCAAGTAGATGTATCCAATAAAGCAGTTATTTGTTTCTGTAATTATCTGCCATCCTGATTTTCAAACATTTCTTTCACAATACATTGCATCTTAGCAGCTAAGAGAGTCTGAGGCTTGACGAAGTCCTGATGATATGGCCCAGCCTTTATCCTGTTAACATCTTAATTACAGTACTTTAATTAGGCTAAATTTGGCATGAAGAAATGTGTTTAATGTCTGCTCCCAGCTCTTTTCAAGAGCCATAATTTTCTAGTAATTACACATCACATTATCCTCTTCACTTCATACCAGCCTACCACTTTTAATACCAACAGTGTAGCCCAAGGGTGCTCAGTTTTATCCACAAAGTTGTAGCTGTTTTAATTCCAACCAAGCAGGAACACACTTTACTTAACTGATCAACTGACGGAGACCAACTGATTAAAGAAGTAGAATCAGACTTAGTTTTTAATGAAAACCTGAAGCCATGCCTTCACTTTTTGGACATGACTGTGCACCACAGCGTAGTCTAATATTAAATATAATAGCCTAAAAGTGCATGGTAATTGATTCCTTCTTTTGACGACACTTTTATTTTGATCATAAAAAGTTGACGTTAAGCATCTTTCATATGCTAGCAAAACTCTAGGAAGCTTTGACAACGTAGTCTACAAAACCACGATAAACATATCATGGTTTGTCTATTCAGAAAGAAAAAATCCTTGCACAAGTCGCGAAGACAGTAAATGCAGACGGCTCTCTGGTGGAATCAGGGCGCCACAAAACATGATGAAATAATCTGTATCGATTTGTCTTGAAGTTCGATTGGTCTTTTTTGCTGCTTGAATGTAACGAGATCAGGGTCCCAACCAATCCAGCGTCTCCCATCGAACGCTTTGCAGTCTGGTAAAGCGCAGACAAAAATTAGGACAAAAGCGACCGGAAAAGTTGGGTGGGGGGACTGTGTGGACTATTTGATGAGCATTGTGAAATTTCGGTATACGGTATGGACGCTGGAGCTAAATACACCTAAAAGGAAAGCCTAGAGCAGCAGATACCAGGTCAAGGAGGATTAGCAGACTCCAGACCAAGGGTCTCCAACCCTCTATCCTGCAGGCTGTAGTTTAAAACCTAATCCAGCCAATTACTGTCTTCAGAAGTCCTCGATTAGTTTGATCATGTCCAGAAAGAGGGAAAGAGGGCTGGTGACTACTGCTGTAGATTTCAGTTTCGTTCCCTCGCAAATGTTTTGAATTACGATGCAACGTTTTGCCATCGCTTGCAAAAGCTGTGCTTTGCTTACGCTCAGAGATGGAGCAGCTCATTGAATTTTACGTTGATCTTGGATTGAAATACAAAGATATAGTGTGCTTCTCAAAATCAAACGATTATGCTATTAGTGAACGCAAACTGAAACTGAGATCGAGTGTCCTCGTACAATAAAAGCACATTTACAGAGACTGCAGAGAACAATTGCTGAATAAACTCAGTATAGACTGGCGAAACTAGGAAAACAGCTTTTAACGTTAGCTATCCTAAAAACAAAGCTCTAATGTAGGCAATGTCATTGGGCACTTCTGGTCCTACGTTTGCTTGCTGTCTGACGAGCTTATATTTTGCGAGGGAACGCGATGTCATTAACTTTTTTTTGTTTGTTTGTTTTTAACAATGGCCCCTTAAGGCTCTAGATGAGTAAAAAAGTAGTGAGTTCCCTATAAAACTACAATGAAACTTCATCAGCCACTGAAGTTTGTTAGATGCTAATCTCTTTTTAGGATCCTTTTTTGGACTTTTGGGACTTAATGTAAGTGACTAAACGGAACTGTGTAAGTAGCTTACTTTTATCACAACTATTCTTGAGTTAAAGAAAATGTAATCATTAAAACTCATAAGTACATTCATTAATATTTCACTTAAGTAGTGTAAACGGTTGATTGACACATTGTTAACTTCTAGCTCAGTAGGAGGACTCTTACAAAAAAATAATATACAAATGACCCTCCATTAGACCAACGTTCATCCTTTTTTATCAAGAGCTCTAAACATTACAATCTGTCTCTCTCTTTTTTTTAAAAGGTCTTCCTGAGTAAATGCATTAGCAAAACTGTTTTATTAGAGAGATGTTGAAAAAAGATTATAAGCATTATTTTGGGAAAAAGTATTTATACTTGTTGGATTGTAAATGCCTTGATTCATCAAAGCATCCATAGAAACTCACCTAGGACGTCTAGGAATTAGCTAGAATGCACACGCTAAAACATTTAAGGCTGGATGCCAAATAAATATTAAGCCTAGTCTAGTCTACACTCTGTGTGGAGTTTTCATGTTCTCCCTGTGTCTGCATGGGTTTCCTCCCACAGTTCAAAGACATGCAGTCAGGCGAACTGGACATGCTAAATTGCCCCTAGGGTGTGAGCGTGTGTGTGAATGTATGTCTGTTTGTCTGCCCTGCGATGGACTGGTGACCTGTCCAGGGTGTTTCCTGCCTTCCACCCAATGACTGCTGGCATATGCTCCAGTTGCCTCCACGACCCAGAAAGAGAAGCAGTTTAGAAAATGTTTGTGTGTCATTCTGCTCAGTAACAAGGCTGAGTAGATAAATACTTTTTTATTTGAAACTGATTTTGTGGCATAGAGTGAGTTCCAAGGCAGGGCAAACTGTGAAAGATGTTATTGTAACCCTCATTCTTTCAATTGTGCTAACACATGGGGACATTCACCAACACATTCACCAGTTCTGTTACTGTGCGTTCACAACAACTGTACCCTTAGAAATTTTACCTTTTAAATTTAGATTTTCTTATAGTTTAAAAATTAGAGAGAGAACAGGGTAGGCCTACATTATGTAGGCCTACTCTGTTCTTCTCTCTCCTTCTAATTGAAAAGTCAAGCTAGCTGAGGGCAAATCAAAACATCTCAACACTGACATTTTTGGCAGGTTTCATGTGATCATGATCTTAAATCCAAGACGAATCCTGGATGGCAACCCAGGAGATTGAACAAGGAAATGTACTCATAATTCTCAGACCCTTAAGGACAGTCTTTGACTTTGTAATGTGACAAACCTCAAAACTGTCTGTTATTTGATTCCTCATGAATTATCTGGACTTGGTGAATTACAGGCATGAATAGACTTCCTCTCATTCCGAAAACACATGATCTCCTGTCCAGTAACAGACCGGTGGAACCACTGATCCATGTGTTACATTTTTAAAGGTTAGGTTTAGCCGACGCTTTGGCTATGTAAATGTGCACATTTAGCTGAACGGGCAAAAGAACTTCAAAATGATGTATTCCCCCTTAATATTGTACATTCAACATAAATATTTCTTGGTTCTAAATGTCACACGTTGAAAGAACTGGATCATGCTGTGATAGACATACTGCAGTCCTTTTGGTAACAGTTTGGCCCTGAGGGTGCAGCCTGGTGATAGTATCATGTGATTTTTAAGAGGTGTCATGCACTCAAAACTGACAGTGACTAATTTAGGGGGGAAAAAAAACAAAGCTAGGCATAATCTCTCCAAGGTGGCACCTCATTCAATCAACAATGTATTTAAGTGTCATTAATTTGTACATTTTTCCCCAACAACTGCATAACGATGTGGAGTGACCACTCACAATAAAATGTGATACATTTAAAAATCCACATATGATGTAAACAACAAACTGCACAGAACTCCTCCAATAAACAAACAAAACTAGACTGGTATAATATGGATGCTGATAAGGCATTGTCTGACAGCACAGATAATGTGTAATTTCCCAAACACCCAAACGGCATTTGATGTTTCACCTATTGCTATTAAAGCAGTGCAACTTCACTTTAAGCCACCTTACACAATTTTGATATGCTACCTACTTTTGCTGTCCATTTATGTTGCTGCAACACTTCCTTTCTCTCCATATTTTATAGATTTCCTTAAATTTCTGTATTCACAGGCATAAATCAGTCTGTTTTAAATTATTTAAATGAATATATTTAAATGTATGAAAAACCCCTTAGTTGTATACGAGTAAAGTCTTAAATTAGGCAATTTCATTGTAAACCTGAATGAGCTTAGTTTGAACTAATGAACGGACTAAGAGTGGTTTTCAGTCCCGGGGACCCACAACCCTTAATTGTGTTCGGCGACATCTACTGGCTTGTAATTAGTATTAACATCAGCCATGCCATGAGGGAAGAGAAGGTTTAAAATACACTATTAAGCTAAATTAGGCCGTGACCTGTAGTGTCTAGCAATTTAGAAAATAAATAAATCCAATGACATTCCCTAAATTTTATTTACTCACCTACAATCCCTTTGGAAATATACCCAAATACAAAAGTTCGCTGTCATATAGCAACTTTAAACTATTTGAAACTTAATCATTGCCTTAAATGGCAAAAGAACCTAAAACTACTGCTGAAGCGGTACTGAGTCCTAAGCTGTACTGTTAGCAAGCAGTATTAAATAAGAAAAGCAGGCAGCACTGAGGAATGCTTTAGCTTTATTGAATGCTTAATGAGGAACAGGAACATGGAATTGGTCTCCAGACATTTTTAAAAACTGAAGCTGAGCAGATCAGTTGCCTCCACGGAGACGCAGAACAAGATGGAGGGTGGACTCCTTTTGGATGTTATAGTCGGAAAGGGTGCGGCCATCTTCCAGCTGCTTGCCAGCAAAGATCAGACGCTGTTGGTCAGGTGGAATGCCCTCTTTGTCTTGAATCTTGGCCTTGACGTTCTCAATGGTGTCACTGGGCTCCACCTCCAGGGTGATGGTCTTACCAGTCAACGTCTTCACAAAGATCTGCATACCTCCTCTGAGACGCAGGACAAGATGGAGGGTGGATTCTTTCTGGATGTTGTAGTCAGAGAGGGTGCGACCATCCTCCAGTTGCTTGCCAGCAAAGATCAGACGCTGTTGGTCAGGTGGAATGCCCTCTTTATCTTGAATCTTGGCTTTGACGTTCTCAATGGTGTCACTGGGCTCCACCTCCAGGGTGATGGTCTTACCAGTCAGCGTCTTCACAAAGATCTGCATACCTCCTCTGAGACGCAGGACAAGATGGAGGGTGGATTCTTTCTGGATGTTGTAGTCAGAGAGGGTGCGACCATCCTCCAGCTGCTTGCCAGCAAAGATCAGACGCTGTTGGTCAGGTGGAATACCCTCTTTATCTTGAATCTTGGCTTTGACATTCTCAATGGTGTCACTGGGCTCCACCTCCAGGGTGATGGTCTTACCAGTCAGCGTCTTCACAAAGATCTGCATCTTTACGCTAGAGAGAGATACTCGCATTAGTGAGTTACTGAAAATCACCAACTGTTTGGTGGTTCATGCTCAGGTCAAAAATTAGGCGGGGGGCGGGGGGGGGGTGAAGAACCGAGTCACCAAGGTGTGACCAAATGACAGTACAAAAATGGACGACACAAACAAAATGGCTTGCCACTACAACAGATTTTGTCTTGCAGCGCAGTTCCTGTTACTACTGAAACATGTCCGTCTTAGTAGTTACAGTTAACGCAATAGCTTTATTAATTTGGCGAACTAGACATTTACAATAATTAGCCATTATGATAAAGATAGCTTCAGTCACTTTACCAGCTGACTTTAGATCTAACGAAAGCACCTTCCGCGTTCTAATCAAGACGTGTTTCGCCAAAGAGCAAAATCGTTTCGCAGTAAGGTTAACTTGCATATGAAATAGAGCGGCAAAAGCCGCTAGCAAACCAAGTAGCAAGCCACCATTAGCTCTATTGCTAACAGCTGGGGCTGGCTCACCAAGAGACAAGCTCCAGAACTTAGCATGTATGCTTTTTCAAAGACGTTTATTTAAAAACGACCAGAGTAGCTTTTAGCGGCAAGTTAAAGATATCAATAACTAAGCTAGATAACATGACAGTGCGCATTTTTTTTGGCGTCGATGCAAAAACTTAACAAGCCCGAGTAAGCCATCCAAAACGAATATAACGACTTGCTGGGGGTCCAGAAACAGCATGAATATAAAGATACAGGCAGTAAGGGACCCCTATAACGTATACTTACAAACAAATGTTCCTTTTTGGCTGAATACAGAAACTCTACGTATGCGTCTAGTCGTCAGGAAGCGACTGAGTGATGCAAAACAAAAAGCCGAAGTATTTATGCAATACTGGTGTATCCTTCCACTGCTACACCCAGAGAACTATAAATTGCGGACTTAACCGTGTATTTGCGGACAGTGAACACTTACCTTTAAATGAAAGAAAGGGGTAATATTTATACAGAGTTATCAGAGTCTCAGAGCAAAGTTTGATTTTACAACCCATTTACGCGGAAGTGTAAATAAATCGACGCGGAGGGATTCGACTGTGTGCAATGTTCAGAAAAACATTATGTGTAAGAACACCTCATTTTGTGTCAGTGATCTTTGCATATGTTTCGTTTGTGCCCACAAGCCACACGCAGACACAAAACTCATATTTTAGTACACTGATGTCAGAAAACTTGCTAGTACATAGTTCTAAATGACCAGTGCACCCCTAGCAAATTTGTTTATATGTGTGTATACAATGTTATGTGTTTGTTTTTATATGCATCTAATCTGATGATGTACCATGTTTTGCTTTGAATGAAAAGACCACTGCAGAGGTTCCAATTACCTACAGTCAGAGTAAACCAAAATGAGGTGAAGTTTTAAAAGCTGGCTCTCCACAAAATCCTTGGTTATTGAAACAACTGTGTCCACATGGGTACCCCTGTATGGATTTGGATCCACCATTGTTTGACTATGGAATTTAGAGGAGTAAATTCTGGTAGGACCTGAGCAGCATGTTCATGTCCAGTGGCACAAATACTGGGTCAGCTGGGGTGGCAATTGTACAGGGGCCCAATGCGCAAGGGGGCTCATGGTGATACCTCACAAGTTAGCTTCCCTTAACACTAGACAGCCCTGAGGTCCATTTATGTCCCTCTTACTCATAATTAATCTCTCTCTCTCTCTCTCTCTCTCTCTCTCTCTCTCTCTCTCTCTATCTCTCTCTCTCTCTCTCTATATATATATATATATATATATACACACACACACACATATATGTGCGTGTGTCTATACACATCAGCAAGTAAACAAGCAAAGTATATTATCATGTTTTTATTCATTTAAAGCAATTCTTGTATGTGTGGGCCCACCATATTTTTGTACTTGGACCCATTAGATGCCATTTTCATCACTGATCATGCTGTAGCTTTGCCAACAGGCTGAAAGGTTTTTGATTTTAGTAAAATGACTGGTTACTGAAGAGGTGTTTAGCTGATGTTTAGCTAATGGTCTTTTTAGTTATGCCTGAGATCATGAGCACCCACTGAAAGTAATTTGTATTGTAATTTGATTTGTATTTAAACAAAGTACAGTAAGTTATGTTTGGTTGCAAAAAGGTAAAATAACACAACCTTTTCCCATAACACTGCAGGTAATTGCTACCTTGACAGATGAGTTCCTGTTGTAGTATTTTCACATATGCATGGGTTTCCTGTTGTTTTCCTGTTGGCCCAACACTACTCACACCTGCTACTACCACATACATTAAATGTCACCTTTCTGCTGCCATTCTATCACACAGATAGAATGCACAACACTCTCCACACAAAGTGCACTTCACTGCAGCAAACCACATCAGAAGACGTTAACCAGCAACTCTTTGACACAAATGCATGATGCAAACCTATGTATTCCCACTACAAAAATACACTGGGCAAAGTCAACTATAGTCTGAGCAGCCTCTTGATAATCACTCTGTTGGGTGAGGTGACACGTTTATCAGGCATGTTTATGCATGTACATGTTAAATTTAACTATCATTGTCATGTTAATACTTCCCCACGGAAAATTATTCAAAAGCCTATATATTTAGAAACTATTTATTCATTAAAAGATGCATAAATCATTGCTGTGTGGCACAATTACACCATTTGTAACTTACTACTTTTTGCAGCATACAGCATAAATAAAGAATAATTTAATTGAATGTAAGCATCAATGATGAGCAACACTTGTATACCCAATTTGGCTTCAGTTCTTTTTGTTTGTTTGTTTTTTAACCTTTTTGTAATCCTCAGAGCATACATACACAGCATATGTTGTTTGTCAATTTATTTGTCCCTTTTATTTGTCCTTTTATTCTTTATTGTTGGTGATGGTTTATTCTGTTGTACAAAACCATGTTTGCCATAGGCCAGATGATCTGAGCCCACCTGAAGTCATATTTTTCCAACTCCTCTTGCCTCTTTATATCCTTGGGTATTTAAACTTTTGCATCCTAAGTTCCTTAGCCTGCCACAGTCATTCTTAAAACAGGCGTGTCTAGGGAGTGACGTTAATAGATCACATCCACCATGCAAGAAGTTTAAACCTCCAGTCGAACCTGCATGCATATTGCATGTGAGCTGGATGCATTTGTAACTCTGCCATTTTCATCCTCTCGGGCGTGATGCTTTTGACATGCCTGTTAAAAAAATAGATAAGAGGAAATTAAACTTACAGTATGGACAACTTTGAATAGAGCATTAATTTTATTAAAGTATAAAAGGGTTCAAGTGCATATATATATATATATATATATATATATATATATATATATATATATATATATATATATATAGAGGTAACAATCAACCAGAGATATTAACATCATTTAAACATACTCTCATGTGATGGTCTTTTCAGATTTGCTGGAAGTTTGAACTCTCCCCTCAGTACCTGGAAAAGTTGTTATTAGGCAGGAGAAATGTGACTTTAAAAACTTGTGATAAATGCAATCATTCAAGGCATGTGGTCTTTGGGATATATCCAAGCAATGTTGCTAGAGTGCTAAATGTGTGAGCTATGTTAGAAACACTGAAGTGGGTTCACATTACGATCATACCTTTTCTGTATTATTGATCACTTCAGGATCTGGTTGGCCGTAATCTGGGGGGTTGGCACCAGGGTCGTAGCCCAGCCTGCTTAGCATCGGAGCAATGTTCTCCATATCTTCTAGGACATCTGCTGGAATATGGCCTACCCAGCGAGTTAATGCCTCCAGGTTGACCGGTTTGATGACCTGATCAGTGGAACGCTCAGTTCTGAACAGTGAAGAAAAGAGACAGAGTGAAAAGAGAGCCACAACTGTACACACTTTTGCTGCTTAATAACCGACCAGCTACTTCATTAAAGCCAATAACTTGTTTCTGCACTAGTCCATTTTATCAGCTCCACTTGCCTTATAGGTACACTTTGTAGTTCTGTGATTACAGACTGTGGTCCACCTGTTTCTCTGTATGCTTTGTTAGTCCCCTTTCACCCTGTTCTTCATTGGTCAGGACCCCACAAGACCACCTGTAGTGGTGTGTTAGTTTGTGTTGCGCTGGAACAAGTAGATCATTGGCGTTTTTAAAAACTGTGTCCATTCACTGCCCACACTATTAGACACTCCTACCTTGTTGGTCCACCTCGTAGATGTAAAGTCAGAGACAACAGCTCATATGTTGTTGCACAGTTTCTGTTACTTTTTTGGTTGGTGGCCTACACTCAGTCCAGCATTGACACTGAGGTGAGGTGTTTAAAAACTCCAGCAGCACTGCTGTATCTGATCCACTCGTACTAGCGAGTGCCACCATGTCAGTGTCACTGCAGTGCTGAAGTGCTGAAAATGATCCACCACCCAAATAATACTTGCTTTGTGATGGACCTGTGGGGTTCATAACCTTTGAATAACAGGGTTAAAGAAGGCTAACAAAATATGCAGAGAAACAGAAGGACTACAGTCTGTAATTGTGGAACTAATAATGAATAATAATGGTTAATAATAAACCATACTTGCTGTGTAGTCAACATGGAAACAGAAGAAGCTATTAGTAATACCACTGTGTGCATTAGTGGTCACATGACTACGTCATTTTGTCGATGAGGAAGTGAGTAATTATAACTGTGGCAAAAGCTAGAGTGCCAAAGGAAACCAACACTTCATAAAGCATACAAACTCATTTGTCAGTTTCAAAAGATTGCTTTTCATTTATAGATGTACATAATAGAAACCTACACAGCCAATGATGTCATTCTATACATAGCAACATGAAACCACTTGGCTGCTGTACTAGTTTATATACATATTCATTTTCACAGAGTAAATGACTGGATATGTTGGGTTTTGCTCAGATTGTGAGACTTTGGGTTTTGTATTTTGATTTTAAAATAAAACAATGCATAATTAAGAACTCATATTGTTCTCTGCAGAAAGGAAAAAATACCTTTAAAAGGTAAATAAACACAAATCTATGGGTTAATCCAACATACATATGTTTTTTAATACGTACATCTATAAATGAAAATCTAGGTTTTGAAAATGACAAATGAGTTTATACGCTTTATTTACACTTACTTCCAAGGAGCATGTGTCAATGGAATCAGTAGCTTCGTAAATGTGCCTGCTGATGGCTAACTAGGTCTCTAATTTGTACGAAGCTTAGGGAGCCATGAAAATGGTTTAAAATGTGTTTTTGCCCTTGAGTACATAACATTGGAATAAATACAAATAAACATAAAAACAATTGAATGTAATATATATTTTTTGTTTTTAATAAAGGTATTAATATCTTGGTTATAAGAATCCAGTTAGAAGAACACAGGTTTGGTCCCTGACTTTTCAATGCACTTCAGCCATCGCATAGATTTGTTAAATTCCATAGCTAACACAATAACAAACATAAAATGTATTATTTAAATGTTTAATTGCATTTATTCTAATGTTAGTGATTTTGGACTATTAAATGATTACTGCCCAGATAAATAGTATTATATAGCATTTTCTTAGGTGGCCTAAGAGTTTTACAGTGTTGTATATAGTCCAAACTCAGGGAACTGACAGTGTATGGTTAACAAACTTAAATATGGAATTTTTCTTCCAATTCAAGTGCTCTATGTCTATTAATTTCCTGAGTTTAACATAATGAAGAAAAAAAACAAATATAAAATGTGCTATAATTTCTGCACTCACCACATTTTATGTTAAAATCTGGAAACAGTAATTATGCATTAAAAAATACAGACGTGTGTTTTCTGTACTTAGATAATCAACAAAACATGTCATTTGACAATGGGTGCCCATACCTTGGCATATGACTTTACATTCATTTGTCAGTTTCAAATCCCTGCTTTTTAATGCTTGATATTTAATCATGGAGTTGCATGCAATTCATGGCCACTGACCATTGTTTATCTAGGTTCATTCTTATGAAACGGTGACTGACCGAGATAGGGAAACTCCTCCAGGCTGCCCAATGGCTAATTCATGGTGAAGCACTCCTTCATGCCATGGCACACCCAGGAACCGCAGCACTTTCACCATTGTGGTCCTTGGCTGCAGTACCAGACTTTCATAGCGAATGGTCAGGCAGCGATTAGGCCCTACCAGTGTGCACTGAAATAGCATGGCCTCTATTGCATGGCTCCACTTGGTAAGGCAGTCCCTGTAGCTGGAGATGTCGAAGCCACCAATGGTCACCCGTCTGGAGATCATGGAGTGCACTGAAGCCCGTCCATCTCTCAGCATGAGAATAAATTTTGAGCTGAAAGATAAGTTAAATGAAATAAGAGCTATGAGCTAATGTTATGGTGGAAAGTGACAAAATAGAAAGGACATTTATGTGTATAATCAGTTGAAGTAGCTGAAGATGAAGCAGGGGTGCGAGATTCTACCTCATTTAACACACCTTATTCAAGGTCCCCTGAAAAATGCTACAGTAGCCTTCTTAACACTCCTCTGCTGGTGGCATAGAGCCATATGCAAAAGTTTGGGCGTCCCTGGTCAAATGAAATTTTGTTGATTTTGTAAGTGAGAAGTAATACACATCTTCTACAGAGAACACACTTCTGCACATTTTAAAGCACAATTAAAGGCACACAAATACAAAATATGACCTGTGCAAAATGATGGCATATTTTACATTTTATTTTTTCGAAAATATTAGACTTACCTAATAAAACATGAAAAAATTTTGCAGAAAAAAATGACATTTAAGTTTCCAGTAGAGAATCTGTTAACTTATTTTCACTTAGAAAATTAACAAAACGTAATCGACCAAGGGATATTCAAACTTTTCCATACAACGGCAGACTTCATCGCACTAGAGGACTCTGCAATTCATTCCTGTTGTAAACATAATGCTGTTCAGCTTTTTATATGATATATCACACCTCAATATGATATATTAAGGAAACCTATTTTTAGGGTTAGTCATGGTTAGGGTCATGGGGTCACCAAAGGTGAAGGAGTGAATTTTTCAATAGGAATGTACTCATCCTTGTCTAGACTAACCTCAATGAGCTAGTTAGCTAGCTAAACAAACTTTGTTATGCAAATCACTTTTTTGTGAAGTCAGAGCATAAAATTTGTGTTTTCATTGAAAATGTGCTCAAAGATTCCATTGTGAGCACAAATACCAACACTGATAATGCTTCTATTGTTAGTAATATTATGATGTTCAAATAAGTTATGACTAAAAACATTTAAACATCATTTATAGGCTATCACACACTACAGCTACCAAATGCATGGATTAACATAGCATTACTTGTCATTAATAAATGAAACAACAACTATTTATTTTGACTTCAAGTAGAATATAAAATGTGTGGGAATATTTGGATACAACCTAAAGCTCTTTCACATCTCAGTTTAGCAACAGTTTAGTGATATGATGACTTTCTAAGCTGAACAACAGTAGTAGACAAAAATTAGATGCTAGGTCATCTACTTGGCAGCAACTACGCCAGTGAGAGACATGCTAGTAACTCTACATATACCTTTACTCAGAAGGCACGCTTATAATCAAAGATGGATAATAACTAGTTACATTTATTCACGTACATATACTTGAGTAAAGTTTTTATGGATTAATGCTTTCCTGAGTATTTTTCAAATCATATTATTTTTATTTAAGTACATCTAAGTCATTAACAATTAGTTAATCATTCCTTTTTTCTTTTTAATTTCAATAAGTTATACTGGTGACACAACTAGACTCTGCTGAAAAAAGATCATTAGAACCATTATAATTAAGACCTGATGGTTTTGCTTTCTAATTGGACTTGGCTTAGTGGTTACTGTTAGAAACCACTAGTTTTCTGTAGGACACTTTTAGGTCCTATCAAGAAACTATCAAATGTATCTGCAATCAGTCCCAGAACATCTGTTAAACCACTAGAACCATTCTTTTATACTGTGATTTCAGCCCATCAGGAAAACACAAAATACCATTACTGACTATTGGATACCTTGCTTGCTATGATTTTTTTCTTTTCAGCTGGGCAATGATATGCAGTTGCTGACACCTCTGACTTAAGTTTTTTATTTTATTTAAAAATAAAAAGCACATCAAAAGAGAAGAATGGCGCCTAACAACCTTTAGTTGCTAATAGATGCTGCATGTATTAAGACGTTTCACTTCAGTTTTATAAGGACCTACTCAAGCTGTTTTTTTAAAGGTACTTTTATTTTTATCTGAGAATAAGTGTGACTACTCTACCCACCTGTTAGCATGAATGCCCCCCTCCACCCCGTGCTAAACCAATTTGCTAAAGAAGGAAAAATCGAACGAACAAATAACTCTGTAGGGCTGTTTGACAATTGACACCCCTGGCTTAAGGAATTAAGTCGGTGCAAATGATGTAAAGCAATCTTTAAGTTGCACTGTTATAATTACTTTGATATTTAACATTGGCTGTTTAAGATACATCAAACCCTTTTTGTTGCTGAGCCTCTTACTTGGGAAAGATATCAGAGAGGTAGATGGAGCTCTTAAGTGTGAATGGATCTTTATTGCAGAGCATTGGTGCTGGTTCTCCATGGCGAGCGATTATCTCCAGCAGGAAGGCTATGGTGGCAGCATCCAGTGTCTCCTGAGTGACTCCCTCATCCTCCAGGATCTGGCGCTCCTCCCCATGCCTCTTCCAGCCCTGACGCAGTCCTAGAAGCCTGGGGATGACCCGAGTCTCCTCCCCACAGCGGATGAGCGGGTGGGCATCCAGCATGGCCCGCATCAGAGTGGTCCCGGAGCGGGGAACCCCACCCACAAACACCATGGGTGATAGATGGCTATAACGGAACCGAGTCTGGTTGCTGCCCTTAACCAGGACGGACACCTTGCGGCTACGGGCCAACCTGCTCTGACACATGAACACCTTGTACAGTGCCTTTCCAGCAATGTACAGTCCAAACACACACAGCAGCAGCATGGTTCCCCGTCGAATGGACAGCCGCATTGCATCGCTCCCTTACGTATCCATTTGCTTGTCAAGGTCCATACAAGTTGAAAGCCTGTGAATTTACACTACAGTTCAAAAGTGTGGAATCAGTTGTCAGTCTCAAAAACTGTGTTAACATTATTTTAACACATAATATGGATTATCATATGAAATGTGATATTACATGGGTGACTTTAAGTGATAATGTACTATCATTTATGATTTTTTTCAATATTTTGTTCTGTGCTTCAAAATTTGATCACCATTTCTGAAACGTGAATAGTGTGAATATTCATTTTGTTGTAATTAATCTGTGCTGTAGAGCTTTTCAGTTATTAAGTAATCATCTACAGCTCTTTTCATCATTCTGAATATACATGAAGTTCCTTCATTTTTATAGCTTCCTACAAATTATTTGAAACTTATGAAGTGGCACAGTGCTAGAATCATGTTAGAATCATTTTATACATGTATGTTCAACAAAATTCATTCTACATTATTGCCTCCAAACCTTCAAACACTAGCGCAAGTGACTCTATATACAGATGCATGCAGAAGTTTGAGCAACCTGGCAAAATTAGCATCCGGAAATTACTTTATATTTGATTCACTTAAAAATAATAGAAAAAAAAAATTGTTTCATGTGCAAAAGATTGGACCCCTACTAAACAGTAAGACCTTATTTGGCATATATCACAACTTGCAAATTGTTTTTGGAGTCAGCTAGGAGTTTTCACCCACTCTTCCTCACAGAATGCTAGTAGTCTTCATGGGCCTTCTTGCGTGCACAGCATGTTTAATGTAATTTTAAGATATGTTTGGGTCATTGTCCTGTTGCTGAAACCAGACTCTTTTTAGTTTCAGTTTTTGACTGACAGTCACATTTGCTTATATTTAGTGGAATCCATCTAACTGTGCAATGTTTAACCTATGCTACTGGCTGCTACACAACCAGAAAACCTAATAGATATAATAGACATAGAAATAACATCACCCCCATGCTGGCAGTGTTTCTTTCATCGAATGTTTTTCCTTTATGACTGGAACGAGTCCAAACTGTTGCACATGCCACAATTACTGTTTAATTTTTTTCAATTTTTTTGAAAAACCACATAACGTAATTGTACATTAACAATTGCAGGAAAAACTGTTGTTTTTAAAAACAGTTTACTACAGAGATTGTGTTTACTTCTTTTCACTCCAAAATATATAATATATATTTGGCCAGGGGTTTCCAAACTTTTACTTACAATTGTAAAAGCAAAGCAAAACGATGCATGAAAACTGGGAACTAACTCTACTTCCCCTGTTTTAAAGGCTGACCATTTTAGTCACTACAGGCAAAATGACAGTCATGGATAATTAAGCGGTCATGAATTTTTCTCTTATAAAATCCTTAAAGTGCTTTTTGAAAAATATTAACAGGTGCAGCTAAAACTTTCAGAACAAGTAGAAGCCACTGAAACTGAATTGCTGAATTAATCTGAAAACACCTGCAACCTGAATGGCTTTAATAAATAACTCAAAACAACGCAAACTGATTTGAATCATATAAGCATAGAGAAGTTTACAGTTATATGTCTTAAACTGACGGACAACGGAAGATGGTGTGACAATCCTGCACTAGAGTTTGCTGAAAAAGAGGCCCCAATACGAGATGCCTTTTACAAAGGATGTCAGAGCAGTTTTGGTGGTTGAAAGACTTCCTGAAACAGCTTAATCTGCCACTCTAAATTTTCGATAAGAGATAAAATGCATGCCCAATCAGATTATCGTTTTTCATACTTTGCCAGCGTGTGTGTGACATCACAGAGCTACAAGGAGAATGTATTTACATCCAACTTTTGTTTGAATTTGCGAAGAGATGAGCAACTTACTCAAGACTGAAACCGGCCAGTGTACACTAAAAGCTGCAGCTGTATTCTTTGTCTTCATACCAATCCAGGTTCCTCAAGTCTTTTTTTCATGTTGCTGTTCAAAAGGAGTAAAAAGCGCGGACGTACTGGAAAAATGTTTTCCGAGAGATAACAACCAGCTCAGATAAAGTACGAACAGCTCCAGGAAGTGGGCGGGTAGGTGTAAGTTGGGAGAGAACCACATTTCATTTGAGTTTCAGCAAGCGGTCATTTTACATGTCACATAATAGGGAAAAAACGTTCATTTTCAGTCTGACATATGAAAAGAAGTGTGTAAAACCATGCCAAGACCATCTTTCATAAACACAAAGACAATTTGGTTACAAAAGACTCTACCATTGTTTTTATTTTTCACATCTCTTCAGGGAAATCTTCCTCTTTAATTCCAAAAGCAAATGTACATTAATTCAGCAGAAAAAACCTTTCACATGTACAACAAAATAAATACATCATCTGTTTCTCTGCTGTTGTATGACGTCACTTGCATGGGAAAAATACTACCTTAAAACCTGCACTACAAACCGGTTTGAGTACAAAGCCTTAAAAATAACAGCAGGCAGGAAGTCAGGGTACAGACACACACACATATACACACACCTCCGGGTGTGTAACTGAACAAAGAACAGCAATTACTCCAGTGTTAGATTCTCAACTATGCCGTGTTACTGACATTTGCTAACAAGGTACATCTTCACAGATTTCTCGTGTTCATTCCTGAAGCCATAAACATTCTACATTACTGTGCAAAAATCAGGGAACGCCCTTTATTTACTTAATTTCCAGTCAAAACGGCCATTAAGTACAAGTTCATTTATTAGCGTCAGAAAAAAAGCAGAAAACACACATTTCACATTTAGTGTGTCCACACTTTGTCCTTGTTACAGCTTGCTTTTCAAAGCATTCAAAGCAGGACTCACTTTCAGTATTTCAAAGAAATCTGCAGGGATGTCTTTCCACCCATTCAAAGTTTAGTCTTAGAAGCTGGCTGTTTTCTGCTTCTTATTATACAAGTAACACATTCAATGATGTTGAGTTTAGATCGAAGTGCTGTATATCTGATAGCGACAGTTTTGGTGGTCTACCAGGTCTTGCACAGATGCAAGGAGTCTGATTTTCTCAACATCTTCTTTTAATTCTTTTGTTTTTTCAATTATTTACTGACTTTCTCCTACCTTATGAACATAAAATATCTTATATCTCTTCAGAACTTGTACATAATGGTCGTTTTTACTGGAAATTAAATAAATGAATGGTGGTCTCTGACTTTTGCATATTTCATACACACACACCCACACACACACACACACACACACACTTTGTTAAACGACAACCTCCTGCCTTAAGTGCATAATGTTCAAATCACATGGCAAAACCACAGTCACTTGTTCATTGATTCACCTCCTCTCCAACCTCTGCTACACAGCCTTCCTCTCCCCACCTCCCTTCCCTATTTCATCTCTCTTTCTCTCTCTCTCTCTGGACCCTGATTAGGCCGCAGATTTGGGAGGTTGGGGAGGTGGGGCAGCAGTGGAATTGTCAGGAGCTATTTACATAACTTCCTCTCAGGGCTGAAGTAATGGGGGGCTGCATCTGAGAATTCATCCGCAGCAACAGCTCTGCTCATATTGACACCTCGTACTCTCTCGTGTCCTGCAGAAATACAACCAAAACAGAACAAGAACATCATGACTCACAGGCTGTGTTAATATGCAGTAAGCTGTGTACACAGGCAGTATTTTAAGCCATCAAATCAATGTAATAAAATCTCATTTTGGCCGAATTTCAAGGCAGCATCATATATACGCTATCCGTATTCAGAAAATCCCTTTAAATGAGTAAATTCAGCTACTTTTAGGTGCAACAATAGCAGCTGGCACAGGTGTTCAATTGTGCACACACAGCTTGTGTACTCTGAATAGCAAAGCACTGCCAATAGAATGGGATGCTCTGGAGCAGCCGCACATGAGCCTAAGGTCACCATGTTCGATGCCAAGGGGTATAAGGCTCCCCAGCATGGAGCTCCCCAGCTGTGGTGCATTGAAACTACGTTCTCTGGAGTGATGGCACACCATTGACAGAGGTGCTTCATCACTCTACCTTTGGAACGAGTTAGGGTGCTTTATGTCATCCAGAACTAATCACCTTAACATCAATACCTGACCTCACTGCTGCTCTTGTGGCTGAGTGCAATTAAATCCTCATAATGTTGTAACATACAGTTGTTCTTTAATAGACAAGGCAATTCCGCAACAATAAACATCTTTTAAAAATTTCATGAAACATTTTTGCTATAAAACTGTAGATAATTTAATGTACTTTTTTATGTTGGTCATTTTACAGTTTTTGTTACATCAAGGGTATTTGTTGGTTAACCTGTGACCTAGCTCTGTCGTTTTAGACCACTGCTTGAAAAAATGATTCAGCTGTTGAATGTTATTATCTAGGCAAAAGTAGCTAATCATTAACTGCAATGTTCTTGGGCGGCTGGCTAGAATTGTAGATAATTTGGTGCTTATCCGCAGCTAGCTTTTACAATTTAGCCTTCACAAACATTTAACTTTGAAGAGCAGAGCTGATGGCTGAAGTGAGTAAGCACCAGTCATGTGCAGGGGCAACTAAACTTTCTAACTAGAATGTCTCAATAAGTTGTTTTAGGTTTGAGGTTAGAATACTGCCTGTAAGCAGTGGGAAGCAAGTTCATTATGTATTGAGGCCCCAAACTGCTAGACATACTCACACTATACATACCCCTCTAATATAATATACATCTTTGTATAAATGCTATATGGTCTGTCTTTTGAGCATGAAGTATATATATATGAAATATTCTTAACTTATCCCATACTCACTTGCACTCATTTTTAGCCATGTTAGCATTTTAGGTAGGGATGCACAATTAGTATAGGCCAAGATCAGCATCTGCAGACATGCAACTGGCAATTTGGCATATCTTTTGCAATTTTATAACATAAATAGCATGAGTCAGGTAAGTGCACTCATGCTGTATTTGAATGCTGCTGCTTCACCTATACCAAAATGTCATAGTATAATTAGAACTCACTGTGCTAAATAGTTAATAGTGTAAGCTAGTGTAGACTGTAAATACAGCCAATTTGGCTGTAAAGAAATCAGAATAATTATGGTTTACCTGAAAGTAGTTTTAATATGGCAGTAGATGTGGGTCTGTATTATATACTCACCCCTCCTGTCTCATAAAGAGGGTTGTCAAACTCGGTCTCCACAGTGATCTGGCTGTATGGGTGAGGGTACATGAGAGGCAGGCGCAGGTTGGAGTGATATCGACACCTGGTTCAGAAGAGGAGGATGAACAGTCATGTCATAACAACTCCCCAGCCAGAATATACACATTCAAGGAGGAAATGTAAACATGTTTTCTTAAACAAACAGGTTTCAAATCACATGGTAAAATCCTTTCTCAATTCTCATAGGATCAGTACAAAACACTGTTAGAAACTGTCTCAAGAGCAAATGCAATGTATCCAGTTGAAGCTCTTAAAAAGATCATAAAGACTTTACACTGTATCCAGATGAAGTTCTTTTAGAAGTATGCTGACCTTGTGAGATAAATGTAGGTGCCTCCAAGCAAGACAGACAGCAGCAGTACTAATATGAAAATGGCCAAAGCCATGCTTCCCCCATCTAGAGACGATTCTGCTGTAGCCTCTGCCACTAGAAGAATGTAACACATTAATAATGGTAAAAAAACAGAGCAGAGGTGAGAAATTCAGGTTCAGAAAGTAAAAAACATCCACAGCATTTTGTTCAAACTGCCTGGACAATACTGCTGCTGAACTGAGCTAACTAGGGAAGCCAGTAAGTTGGAACAATATCTTGGGAAGGATTTTTGTTTCTTGAACCTGAACTACTCACCTCTGGAACAGATAAATTACACCACATTAGTAAATACTTAAGAGATACTTCCTTTGAGTACTTCCTCTTGGAGAACACTGTGGCTCTTACAAGTAACTAACTAAAAAACCATATGGCCTCTTGATTGATGTTATCTATTATTTTGAAAAATGATCCTAGAATGAATACTAGCAATGATGGATTGTTAATTAATTGCAGGAATGGAGAGATTACAATAATGAGACTTACCTTCTAAAGCATGGTTGCTAGAGCATTCATGATTGGCTTAAAAAAAAACAAAAAAAGACATAAATCAATGGTACAGTAGAAAATACTGTTTACATGGTATAATGACGTGTATAACTGACTTTACCTCTACACAGGGGTAATGGTCCACTCCAAAATGAGGGATTCCCCAGGATGCACTTGATGGCGATCTCTCCAATGAGCTCGTAGCCCTGATAACACATGAAAGTCAGGGATTCTCCAGGCAGGTACAGCCTCTTAGACAAGATCTGATAGCCATTGTCTGGAAGACCAGGATTCTCACAAGAAACTGACTCTTCCGCTGGGGTGAATAGAGAGAGAGAGAGTGATAAAGCAAAAAGAGAAATAAAAAGGGGTAAATCTGAGGGCAGAAGAAGATATACTGGCACAAAAAACAAGCCAAAAGAGAAGTTGAAGAAATAATAAATGGTAGGGAAAACAAGTACAGAACAGAAGTGAACTTTTTAGAGTGAACTGAGTTCATATCAGGTACAAAGGGAAAAAAGGACTCATTTTTTTGCTTTAAAAACTTACAGACGCAGTGCGGCAGGCGGGAGGTCCACACGGGAGTTCCAGGCTCTCGACCATAACAGGTTAAAGTTGCACCGCCCTGCAGTATGTAACCTGGATTGCAGCTGTACTGAATGGTGGTACCCACCAGCAGTTTGGGGTCGGAGAGGGTTCGTACAGAGTGCTCAACGTGGCCTGGGTCTGTACAGTACATAACTGCCAGGAAAGACACAAACATGATATAACTGATGCAGCCATCCCAATATATCTTGGGCTGACTGGACAGGGATGTAATTATGAAAAAGCCAAATGTAAATACTCAAATAGTCAAACACTTCAAGAGGTCTTTTTAGACACACTGAAGACACAAATGAGCTAAATGTATGTTTCTTTAAGCCACCTATATATAACCCCATTTCCAAAAAAGTTGGGATGCTGTGCAAAGTGTAAATAAAAACTAAATGCAATGATATGCAAATCTTTTAAACCCCA